GTAATTGCATGCATGAGTCTCAATATAAATAGTTATAAATAATTATTGACCAATTCTAACATTGTGATATTTTTGTATTGTATTAAGAATATAGTAACTAGGGTCTGCAAATTGGAGGAGAGAGTTATCAATGATAATGTTCTGACTTTGAATCTACGATTATCTCCCTTTAACCCCCCTCTCTCTTTCTCTTCCTCTCTGTTTTTTTTTTTATTTTTAAATGTACTTTTTATTACGTAAAATTTGGTAAGGCACAAATAAATTTTCATTTCGAAAATGCAGCCAGAGAAAAAAAGTTTGGGAACCACTGGATAACTGTCATATCTTGGCTGGAGCTGCCCAATCGTCACTTTCCAGCCTTGAAAGAGGCCCAAATCATTTATGTTGTCTTGTGGAAGGTGGGGTGAACTTTACTCCAGCCTGCAGTTTCTTTCTCAAAGACCCAACATTACAAGTCTTTCACTACTCTCAGACTATTTCCCTAGCAAACGTTCCACTAGTTCAGGCTTTCACAACTCGGACACACAATGCTGCTTCCAGTTCCTCAGTGATCTAAATGTAAAGAAAAGTTCTACCTAACTCAGATAGCTTTTTCCTAAGAACTACTTACTTTGTGGAACAGACTCCTATGGGGGTGCTTCCCTGAACACTACAATCTTAATCTCCCCACGTTGAGAGTCAATCATTATCCGCCTACATTATTTTCAAAATCTTCACTTCCTACCACCTCCTTTCATTCATAATAACCATTTTAACAATAGCCTACTTGAGGAGAACTTTAGTATAAAAGAAACACACACAATGCTATATTAGTAATTATTACTACTTCTCTCATATTAATACAGTTACTCCACACTTAAGAACTATGTTCCTTTCCAACACCATGACCACTATTTTTTCAAGCATGCTATGTGTGTAATGGGTTTTGTGTCACCCATCTTAGATAGATTTAATGTTAATTTTGCCCCATTTGTAATATTACTAATTTATTTCTAAATGTTTATACCCTACAATAAAGTACTGAACAATAAATAAATAAACACTTTCAAAAACCAGCTCTATATTCAGGAATTACTTTAGTTTGCATCCTGTAAATACAGGTCAAATAAATTTTTATTTATTTTTCATTTTATTTATTAATATTTCATTTTAGTTCATTTTGAAGAAAGCGAAAAACATAACAATCAAAATTTTCAATAAGCAATAACTAAAAGAAAGAAAAGAACAAGGCAAATACAAAGCAAAGAATATATGCAAAACAAAAGTAGGCAAAGCAACAGTAATAAGGCAAAAAGTTTACAAGCTAAGAATGGGGTTAACACACAAAAGGGGATACAAACAAGTGATTGCAGCATTCTGACTTCAAGACACAAAAGAACAGAAATATGGTGGATGAGACCGAGAAGTGGTCTATCTTATTGCCTCAGAAGAAATCCCAGCATGCATCTGTACAGTTTGTCTATAAATTTTCGAACAACATACAATTCTGACTTTTTTTTTTTTTTTTTGAGTTTTTATGCCTGGTCATAAATTGGGTATATACAGAAAGAGTCTAATTTCTTGAAAAATAGATTCTATAAATTACAAATAGCAGTAACGCTGTTCAGTCAATGAATGCTGAATGTTTTCTTTATAAGGAAATGGCTATAATTAGTAACTGATTTTATCATTGTGATATTTTTGCATTATGTCAAGTATTAAGAATACAGTAACTAGGGTCTGCGAATTGGAGGAGAGAGTTATCAATGATAATGTTCAGACTTCGAATCCATGGTTATCTCCCTTTAACCCTCTCTCTGTCATGATTGCCATTAAATATAAAGCTTGGAATTAGACCGACTAGACCAGTGCTTATCAGCCAGGGAGTTCTTGGAACTTTAAGGACAGGGTTGCTAGATTGTATTTTTGATGCCAAATTTCTTAAATCTGGCATTTTTAATGTTGGTTTGGTGCCAGAGAATTCATTTGGCATCTTTGGCATTTTCTTGGCTTTTTTCCATAATAAAATATATAATAAACAATATATTACAGCTATGATAAAAATCTTTTTTTTTCATCCTCAGTGATGTGCCTGAATTATGGGAGATTTCAGCCATTTTATCATCATATCCTTAATCCAAAAGGGGAACAGCTCCCAGAAATTTATTGTTTTTAAAAAAAAAAAAAAAGGAATAATGATTTTTTTTTTTTTTTTTGCAAATCTATGCCAATTTCAGCAGCATATCAAAAGGAAGAAATTTCTCTTTCATAATTCTCTATAATATAAATAAATAATGACCATTTTTCTTGGTCTTTCACATATTCAATCCTTTTCTCTGATGTTTCTTTCATAAGTTAATATTAAGTTCTTTAATTGACAGATACACATACTAAAAAAATGGATGATTAATAAAATGGTTATTATTCTATCATTAGATTTAATAAGTCAGGTAAAAAAAAAAAAACTTTTCAACTAAAAAATTTAAATTTCATGAAATTTACCTCAAAACGTTTTCACTCATAAAGTATTATTAAAATTCTCAAAAGAAAACACTAAAAAAAGATTTTCCAGCAAATCAGATTTGTTTGACTATTTCAGAATTTACAGCTAAAAAAAAAAAAAAATTCACCATACAAATGTTTAAAATTGCAAGAAATAATAAAGTGGTTTCATTATAAAATGCCTAAAATCCCAATATATATTAATAAATAAAATTTTGTATGTTTATTCGGCTTTTTTACTGGTATTTATATAAAAATTTTAATTTGGCTTTTTATACACATTATTTCACTTTAAATAAAAATCTTAATCTTGCAACTTTGCCTAGGAATTCACAAGAGGTTGCTAGGGGTTCTGTGAGAAACAGTAATAAATAGGCTAATGCATTTATGAGTAATTTTTGTTTAATTTTAATATACACATGCAGCATATTTTTGGAAAATCCTTGGTTATCAAGGATTTAATTATAAATAATAATAAAATTATCATTTATGTTTATTTTTTGTGTGTTTTTTTTTTTTTTTTTTGGGAATGAAAACCTTGATGTGAGGTCTCCTAAACAAGCAATATATGATATATATATATATATAGTGAACATAGAAGTCAACACTTAGAGGTGACAGTCTGTTTCATGCTAGACGCAATTTTCAGGCCACGGGTGCTGTTATTTTTCTCGGCTATTTATATATACAAGTCAGAGGTGCATTGTGGGTAGTCTATTTTGGAAGTTATTTTACCGGAAGTCATTTATTTATTTGTTTATTTATTTATTTGGGTTAAATTATTTTGCTTGTTTTTATTTATTTTTTATTTTTATTTTTAGCTGAGAAAAATAACAGCACTCGTAGCCTGACGATTACGTCTAGCATGAAGCAGACTGTCGCCTCTAAGTGTTGACTTCTCTGTTCACTTTTATATTTACACACGCTATATCTCTGATATTGAGCACTTTATCCCATAAATATAGCACACCTTAAGACTATATTTCTTTATATATATATATATATTTTGCATTGCTGCTAAATGGGGGTCAGTTTTTTGTTAAAAAATATATTATGTTTGCTATGTTATCTATGATAAAATTATAAAAGAGATAGATATTAATAATGGTATATAATCATTTTTATGCAGTGGTAATGTTCTCAGCTGACATGAAATGGAAAGACTTTATTGAATCAATTGCTATGTCAGCTGCTAAGAAAGTCAGTTCACTGTGTTGAGTGAGACAATTTTTCTCTCCTGAATCTATCTTACATATCTATAAGTCTACTGTTCATCCATACTTAGAATATTGCTGCGACATATGGTTTGGTGCCCATGTTATTTACATTCAGCTCCTTGATGAAATCCAAAGAAGAATCAGCAATATTATTGGTCTTGATCTGGCAGCTCGGCTTCAGTCACTTTCCCATCGTAAGGTTGCCTCTCTGCACCTTTTCTATAAACACTTTCATGGTAATCGGATCAACTCTACACTATGGTACCTAGACTTTTTGAATTTAAGTGCAATAGTAGACTGACATCAAGATCTCTTCAATTTACAGTTGAGCTGGTTAGATGTAACCATAAATTCTATGCTAACAGTTCCTTTTCTCATACTTCTCCCCTGTGGAACTCCCATCTGGCTCCATGCTTTCCAGCCAACTTTAATCTGCAAAAATTTAAATGCAATATCAATCACTATCTACTATCCTCCTGATTACTCTTTCCTTTTCCCACTCATTATTACTGTTTCTGTTTCTAATTCTTCCACACCCTGTAACCCTTTGTATCTTAGTGGCTTTACTGCCTTGATTGTGGAAAGCCCTTTCTGGCTCTATGGTTTCCAGCCAACTTTAATCTGCAAAAATTTAAATGCAATGTCTGTTGCTATCTACTGTCCTCCTGATTACTCTTTCCTTTTCCCACTCATTATTAATGTTTCTGTTCTTAATTCTTCCATAGCTTGTAACCCCTTGAGTCTTGGTGGCTTTAATGCTTTCCTTGTGGAACTCTTCCGACTCCATGCTTTCCAGCATACTTTAATCTGCCAAAATTTAAATGCAATGTCAATCGCTATCTACTGTCCTCCTGATTAATCTTTCCTCTTCCTGCTCATTATTAATGTTTCTGTTCTTAATTCTTCCACACCCTGTAACCCCTTGTGTCTTAGTGGCTTTACTGCCTTGTTTGCGGAAATCCTTTCCAGCTCCATGCTTTCTAGCCGACTCTAATTTGCAAACATTGAAATGCAATGTCAATCGCTATCTACTGTCTTCCTGATTACTCTTTCCTCTTCCTGCTCATTATTAATGTTTCTGTTCTTAATTCTTCCATAGCTTGTAACCCTTTGTATCTTAGTGGCTTTAATACCTTAAAAAAAAAGGGGGAGGGCTTTAGACATGAAAACTCTTTCAAGTGTTTCACAAGGGTAAAAAGGTCAAGAAACACTGATCCAGACTGAAAGATTGATTTGCATTATAAACAAATGTTTTGCTGTACTAGAACCATTTTTCTTGTTTGTTTTTTTTTTTATCAACAGGAGCTCTTGGAGTGATGTACAAATTTGGCATTGGGGTGCATAAAAACAAAGAATCTGCCTTTATTTGCCTAAAAGAAGCTGCTAATCGAGGGAATGTCTATGCAATGGGAATTCTTGTCTGTCATTATTATGACTGCAAAATGTTTACAAATGCTGTCCACTTAGGATCCAAGTAAGTGTTCTATTTACACATCATTTTTATTTCAGCACATAAGTGATCATAGCTCTCCACAGCTTTCTATCTTGTGTGGCTCTCTTCAGTTTTTCTCCCTTTGCTATGGCCCTCACTTTGCCATTCATTCACACAAGTTCATTAGGTGAATTGCCTTCCTCTATCTCTCTTGCCCACAAAATGCCCTGGGAGTGTTAAGCTTTCCAAGCCTTTCTTCCTCGCTATCTGTCCAAGGAATTCCATCAGTGCCCTTGACTTGAACAGCAGTTTTTGGCCAAGACCAACAAACCCCAATTCCTGCCCTTTGCAACTTTTCCTCTTTCCAAAAGTAAAATCCCACTAGAAAGGAACATGTCTTTAAGACGTCAAGGCTATTCAAGAAAAAAACAAAGAGGCAGTTGCTCATTATACCAACAAAGGAGTTTCAGGAATGCTTCCATCAATGGATAAAGTGTGTAGCATAAGAAGGGAAACTACTTCAAAAGAGATTAAATGCCAAATTGATATGCATTATAGTTTTCTTTTTATATCACCAATCCTGATACATTTAGATCAAATTTTGTGTGTGTATATATATATATATACACACACACCAGGTGTAACAACAAAATTGTTAGATTAAGCTCTGAACCATTGTATCTTAGAAATGATTAAAGATATCTTACTGGAATTCTTCAAGGGTTTTATAAAACTATTGGACTCTATGAACAATAAGAATGTATAATTACTCTCCAAGCTTAACAAAAGAATTGTGATGAAATCGGTCATAAACGAAAATGACATGTTCATCATTAATTAATCATAGCTAAGGATAGGAAGTTCATGAAGGATTGAAATTATGTTCAAATACATATAATTCCAAGTTCATTTTCCACTTTATTCAAGATGATCTTCGCTCTCTCTAACCTTCTAACTATCCTTCCTGGAGTAACAAGGTGCCTCACAGGTTTCATGTATGATTTCATTTTCAAGTCTTTTATTCACTGCTTTTTGGAACGTCATAGGTGAAACTCCTCTCCCATGTGCCAAATGTCTTATGGATTGAGTTGGATCTTTTCTTTAAATTGAAATGAGGATCCCTCTTCCTGTTGTGAGCTCCTGATCCAGTTTTCCTCTCTATTGTTTCCTCTTTTATTAAACTTATTCACTGTTCTCTTGATGGTTATTGAATGGATTTTGAAAATGGAAGCTAGAGTATGAAGGTTGGTACAATTACTGAAGGCTTGAATGATCTTTTTCCTCTCATCATTGCTCAGTTGAAAAGACATAGTATTGCTGACACAAAATGATTTTAACCTGTTCTCTTTCTAGCTGAATAACTTAAAGAGTTGCCAGCATTTCCCTGAAGATCTGTTTAGGTGAAACCTAGGTAGGTTTGCCTGGCTCCTTAGGATTATCTTAGGTTTTGCTCTACTTAGTGTATTGAGCACTTTACGTAGTTGTCTTTTTACTCGTTTTGAGTTTTTTTTTTCTTTGGACTTGGAACTTGAACACTGGACGATTGTTTTCGCCTTGGTTTAATGTTCTTGGTTCTTTCTTTTCTTATTTCCCATTGGTACCGATTTGTTCTACTACAAGTTAGGCTATCTGAGGTTTTTCCAAGTGAGTACCACCATTTATATATATATATATATAACCAATGTGTGATTGGTAGGGATAATTCCATGGAGGATATAAATCCAGAGAGAGCTCAATGTAAATTACAGAGCATAATAATAATAATAAATCAAAAAAGAAAACCTTAAAGATCCATTTCAGTTATAATTTATTTCATGAATATCTCAAAATCTTCATCTCTTCAGACCAAAAGCTTTTAATAAATAGAAACAATTTCCCCAGACTGATTCACAGGGGGGAAGGGAAAGCAAAACATAAGAGGAGGAAGTAGTAAAATGACAGATGCTCAAGTTCTTTTTAAAATGTGAAATAGGGAGGGAGACAGATATATATATATAAATAATAGAGAGAAAGATTGCCCACATGTTTCTTACAGAATCTAGATGTAGTTGCCTGTAGACGGAATGATATTTGTATATTATTTATTCACTTTTTACAGCTTATCAACCTTTTGCAGGCCATTTAAAGCCAGAATTTTTACATTATTCAGACTAGTGTCCTCATCTTTGTCACCATATTTATTACAACATTTTGGCCCTTTAGTATCTGTCTATATTTCTGAGATGAGGTATTATGTACCCTATTTACATTATTCGGACTATTGTCCTCATCTCTGTCGTCATATTTATTACGTTTCACCCATTGTATGCTCCGGCCTTCTTTAGGTGGTCGGAATGTTGAACTGAACCCTTTATTTCGCTCACTGGGGTAGACTGTTCGAGTTTATAAAAGAATGATTCATAACCAAATATGCAATTATATATTTAGAATTGTTTGTGTACAAATAGATTTTAAAGTTCACTTGACTCAGATTTATAAAAGAATCGTTTTCTGTACCTCTGTTATTGATTCAGTGAAATGATATTTGAGGGGAGGGAGTGAGATTTTGTAGAAATTTAATTTTTATTTTGAGAATCCAATCTCCCATTTGTCATTTCCCAAAGTTTAATTAATTCAAAAGAACATACCATATTTGCCTCTAAGATTTTATATAATTTAATGATAAGTTTAACTTTCAGAAAAAAAAAGTTTTCTTAATTTTTCAAATAATTTGTGCATTTATTTTCCATAACCTTCAGATTATCAAGGAGTCAAATGGAACAATTCCCTTCCAGGCTTTCCTCTGGGCAGATTGGGTTTATTTTGCTTTGTGCATCTCCCAATAGCATGTAACAGGTTATGCCAAGTTACATCATGTTTTTTGTTGTTTTACATTATTATGTATTATATTATAATAATAATAATAATACTATTAGAAAACATTTAGAATATTATTATTATTATTATAATGAAAAAGCTGCTTGTCTGACAGAATTATTATACGAGATGAATATTTTTTTTCTCTCTACCAGGGTAAATGAAATCACTGATTTTGAGAAAGTGGCCCAGGACACAGATTGTCTGTATCGATTCATTCTAAAGGGCGTGTCAGTGGCTATCTTTTACCTGGGAAGGTGTTTCGAACGTGGAGCTGGAATAAGAAAAAGCCTCGAAAATGCACAAAAATGTTATCTAAAGGTGAGTTAAGCAATTTCTCTCCTCAGATGCATGAATGGATTTGACAGAAAAAAATTTTTTTTCAACATCTCAGCCCTTTTTAGGCTTTGAGCAAAATGGTCTATCAAAATGAACACAAGATGTTCTACATCCATGAAAGAAAGCTTCAATACACATGAAATTTTATATATATATATATATATATATATATATATATATATATATATATATATATATATATGCCTTGGTGCTCCTGATATACATTTAAATATTTTTGAGAGAATACAAAGAAGAATCTGCAATATTATTGGTCCTGACCAGGCATCTCGGCTTCAGTTGCTTCCCTGTGCCTTTTCTATAAATACTTTCATGGTAATTGTTCTGATGAACTTTCAGTGTCATATTTCTTACCACCGCTGTATGGAATGGCATACACACAGCTTTTAGTTATGTTCTCTTACTTGGAAAAGGCGTCTGCAAAGTGTTGAACCACTTTTAAGGGTCCTCCTGATGTTACATGGAACACAGACCTTTTGTATTTTTTTTCTGATGATAATAATAAGACCAGAGCTGTTTTGGGAGATTTTCTATCCTCTTGTATTCTCCTATCCTAGGTTTTGCTGCCATGTACCCAGGGTAGTTTTTTAGGTTGTAGGGTACTTATACTATTTCTTGTTCATATGTCTTTGTAACACTGTATGGGTGAAAGTTGAGGTATCTGGTGAATGTTGGTATACGGAGGTCTAGAACCCTGTTCAGGTTATTATTACATTCAAGAAGGCAAGGTTGCCGTTGTTTTATCTCTTCATTGTGAACTGTATCGATGGTCCAGTTGTAGCATTCTGATATGTCTGATCCATTCCAAAATGTACAGAAAGTTAGCATCAAATCATATTGGTTCCTCCTTAGTGAACAATCTTGGATTGGATTGTTTCCATCTTGATATCAGTGCAAGGCTTGATATTGGGTTGTTTCAGCTGTTGTAGTTTGGGTGATTGGAATTTCAAATTGAACCCTTTATTTTGTTCTAGTTTTACATGCCATGCCTCTTCTGGATATCTTAGTCATCTCCCTTTTAAGGTTTTGTTCACTACTGCAGTAGCCTGGTATTGAACCCACAACTCTTTGCTTCAAGTCACTGGATTACTTCAGTCAACACATTTATCATCTGGGCTGTGTCCTTGAGGACATCAGTGTATGAATTTGGGGGATTTATTTTCTGAATAATTTTTATTTTTTTTATACCAGAGCTCAGAATGCAATTTTGTTTATTAGTTCCTAAATTCATTCACTGATGTCCACAAGGACACATGGCCCAGTGGATAACAGCATTGGTTGGGTCCAGTGTCTTGACCCAAAATACTGAGAGTTCAATACCTGGCTACTAATATTTAGCTATCCCCCCAGACGGCGCTGACTGTAACTTAATACAGCTACTTCAATACCTGGCTACTGCAGTGGTGAACAAAAAACTTGGAGAGTTGATTTAAAGGGAGATAACTGAGACTTCTGGAAGAGGCAAGGCACATGGAACAATCTACACTGGTTCAGGTTGAAAATTCCAATCAGCAGGAATGCACAACATCTGAAACGTTGTGAATATAACAATAAACATGAGAATGACAGTGTAAATAATTACAATACCTCATCTGAGAAATATAGACAGATAACTGTTATTGCTTTTTCTCATATTGATGGGAGTTTCCCTACTAGCTTTTTGATTAAGGTAATGTGGAAAGCCAATATCTTGATTACATCCTTATTTTTCTTTTTAATTACATGTGCTCTCCATTGTAATTGTTACTGCTGTTGGAAGTCCTCAAGTGGTGTGGTTTCTCTTGTCTGGTACAGTCCTTTGTGTTTTTGTAGTGCCAGTCTACAAGGTCCGACAAAGGATTTCAAGTTCCTCAGCACCAGTTTATTCCCTTGAAGCCATTTTCAATCATTTACCCAAGAAAACTGTTGTATATACGACTGATAGTTTAGACATTTCTAAACAAGTCAGATGCCATACATGACATCCATATATAAATAATTGGAAACCTTTTACTAAATTAACAATTTACACAAGGCTATGCCTTGAACAAAGGCAATTCTGTACCTATAAATCACCTGCATAGAGAACCTTTTCTTTTTTTTTTTCAAATGATGTTCAACCTATAAAAGGCTCGGGAGCCAATCGAGGTAGAGGGTTACAGAGTAAGATGCAAAGTCTACGTGGATATATGGTGCAAATAAGTTAACCCTAGATTTAAACTAGTTAAGATTGTAGCAATTGGTGAAGCATCTTATTGGGAGTTGGTTTCAAAAACAGTTTGTGGGAAGAAGTTGCTCTCAGGTGGCAGGTGAATCTCTATGAGAGTGTGTTTGTGGTATATCCTATGCAAGACATTGTGTTTTCAGTGGGCAAATATATTCATGCCCATCCTTGGTCTTGTACAGTGGGTTGGAAGTTTTGAATTTTTTATAGTAAATAATGAATCTGATGTATTTGTTTTTATCGACTGGTTTTATATATTCTATTTATTGCTGTTTCGTCATTTTTGTAATTGTGGTTCATTTGATTTTGGTAATTTATGTTAATAGTATTATTGTCAATATTATGTTTATGACATTGGTCCTTATTAAAATTGTTGTTTAAATGAAATTTGATTTGCTTGTTGACTATGTAATTAGGGGACCCTTTATTGATAAAGATTTGTTTTATATTATTTAAGTCTTTAAGGGAAGTTATTTTGGGTGAGGAAATGTGTTTAGCTCTTTGGATAAAATTATTAATGACAGCAATTTTATATTTTTCAGGGGTGTTGTAGTTTAGAAAGCAAGTGTTAGAACTAGCAGACTTTTCTGATGGTACTCTGGTTTGATAGGTTGCAAGTGAGTCTCTGTGGAAGTGTGGTTGTGGTATATGCTATGTAAGATGTCTTGTGTTTTTTTCTTTTTTTTTACAGAGAAACATTCTCTGAGTGGCTAATATACAACATTAGTCTTGTAGGGTTTGGAAGCTTGGGATATATTATTATTATTATAAATGATGGCAGTTTTATATTTTTTAGTTTTTTTATATTTTCACTGTTCTAGTTTAGAAGGCAAGAGTTAGAAATAGACTTTTTATGTGGAAATGTGATGAAATCATTGCTGTTATTATATTTGAGAATATCTCGCAATATTTAGTGCATGTTGAACTTTAAAATGGAATTGTTCTGTAATGTCATTAGCAGATTTGGTTTGGATGAAGATGTTATCAGTATATCTAACATAAATGGTGGAGTTATTTATTTTATTCAATATTTTGGTTTCATTTGGTTTGTTTTACAGCATATCAACCTCAATGGGTTATTTAATGCCGACAAGATTTTTGTTGCTGGTAACATTTTTTTCCTTCATAAATCTATTTTTGGTTAATATTTTTTCTTCAAAAATATATTGCTGGCAATGATTTTTTTTACAGAAAGTATTTCTGGTATTAAAATCTATTTTTACACTTTCATAGTGTTTTGACCCTAGCTTGGGGGGGGGTAACTATTTACCCATAGCTGGGACCCTAAGAGGTGGTTCCACACTCCTCAAAACATCCTGACCAGAACCCTTGCTGTTGGACATAGTTTATTATCTTACCCAGGACATAAATGTAGTTTATCATCTCAATATTTTGCTTTGTAAGTTAGTCCTATAAAAGTTCAAAAATGAAGTGAGCTGCCTATAGCGACACTGTCAGTCTGGGTATAAATATTACCAAGGTGGTTGTGGACGCTAACAAAAGTTATTTTTTTTTTGTTTTTTAATATTGTCGGGTTAATTTTCACGGGTGGCAGAGAAAAGTAGTGATGTCATTTAAAATAATGCTGATTGTTTCAGCAACAAATTTTTGACGTCTAAGATTTTATCCTGAGGTTTGTTGAGGTGAAGAATTTGTAAAAATTCATTAGTAGAACTGATACTTGGTTATTAAAAATGATATATCCCAAACTTTCAACTCCCTATACAAGACCAAAATTGTGTATAAATATACTTACCATTTGGATAATGTTTCTCTATAAATAAAAAACACAAAATGTCTCACATAGGATACACCACAATCACACTCTCACGGAGTCTCACCTTCTCACCTGGCCAGAGTGCCATCAAGAAACACATTAATAAGCAGCATAAGGATCATAGTAACATTTGACAGCTTTTCATAGACAAAAGAAAATACTAGCAAAATGAAATTGTGAAAACAAACTTATGATCATCTAAGCAACACTCAGACAACAAAAACAAACATCTATAAATAAAAGCAATTATAATTTAAGAGCCAGTGTCTTCAAATGTACATAGATAAAAAAAAAAATAAAATACACTACCTTGGCTTCATCGTAACTCTCACTAGTTTTACAAAACTCATGATTTATTTCTGATGATGACTTAAGTCAAAAGCTTGGAACATATTTTTTCCAAAATGAATTTTGGACAATATCTGACAGAATTTTCTACTTGTCTGAGAAGAATTATTCATAATTTGGAAAAGTCAATCAGTAAAATTAATTGACACAAAATGGCTGCTGTCTTTAATAATATTCGCCTTACAAATATACAAATCTGTCAATGGTCTATAAAATAGAGGGAATTGTGTTCAAATTCCTGTCAAATTAGTCTACTCTTGTGAAAGGCATGAATACATTTCTCCCTGCATTTAATCACATTGACAGAGAGCTTAAGATCTCTTCTTACTGGCATGCCACAGTAATTGACAAAGAAAAGTGAGTGAGCATTTAGGCAAACCACTCCCCCTTATCTACCAAGGCAGTAACAGCTGAAAATCATGGTATGTGTATGACTGGAACACTTTATGATTGATATATGAACATACACGTATAAACAAAAGTATATTTCTGATCATGATGTCCTGATTTTTGCCATTTGGGAGGAAAGAAAAAAAAAAATCTTTGCCAGCTGACAAATGGTGGAATTTGAATGTTGCTGATTTTAGTTGAATTTATCTAAAATAGACGTCAACTCTCCTCAAATAACGGACAAAA